TTGTCCTAAGAACCACTCATTGAATTTTAATGAAACTTTTAAAGAGTGCTCATCACATTTCAATGAACCTACATGTGTAGGACTATACACCATATTAGTTTTGGTAAATATTTATGCTTCTTAATCACCTAATTAACATAATTAATTAATTAATACTGATATCTCAAGTATTGATCATCACATTTGAATAAAACTTGGTACATAAATGCTCTAGGACAATAGACAGCCTGATTAATTTTGGGTTAAAATCTGTTAATATTAATTCTCTTAATTAGCACAATAATTAATAATTTTTTGGTTCTAATCACATTTCAATGAAACTTGGTACATAGATATTACATTACGCAGATCTTATTACTTTTACATTTCGCAGACCTTATTAGTTTTACACTTAAATGTGTTCATATTAGTTACCTTATTTGCATAATTAGTTTTCTGCATTTCCATCTATATCTCAAGTTCAAGTAATTTTTAATGTGTCTCCAATACTCTCAGCACACGGGAGTTCTTTCTAAGCTTTCTTTGATTGTTGATAAGATCACACAGGCCAGCTTTGAAATGTAAGAGCAGGAAAATCAATTGTATGATTGACATAACATGGTGTTTTGAAAACACTTTAACAAAAGAATAGGCAACATATTTTATCAACATTGTTATTTTGCCCCCAAACACAATAATTGTCTAATGTTGACTGTATCAGACCTTGGTAAAAAACAATTTGATAATCTGAGGGGATATATGTGCATAACCCATAGTAACCAATGCATTTACATAGATTTTTAAATAAACATGATCATTCCATGATAGTTTCATCAAGTGTTGCACCTAGAATAGAATCTGAATGCACACAGAGAATCAAAGTTCTGTCAACAAATACAGATTAAATGTCATCAGTTGTCATACTAGCCAATTTGTGGGCAGTGGATATCAATCATTTAAATTTAATTAACATTAATACGCATAGAATCAGCATTAACAAGGTTAGAAATCTATAACGTCATATTTATATCGATGTATTAAGTTTTCGCAAGAAGTGTCTAGGCATCAGTATACATATGAACCAGATGACAGAGCCATATCATTAATAAAGATAATAAACAAAAGTAGTCCCATAATGGATTCTTGTGGTAACTCTCTCAATCCAAAATACATTCCATAAAATTTACCAATTGTTGCTGATTTGTCGAGTATGACTTAAATCAGTTAACAACATAATCTGACAAAAAGCACAAGTTGACAACTTAATAGCATCAAAAGCTTTGGACAAATCAAGCAATTGTCAATGTCAGGACCTTTCCTTCAATAAAAAGCATACCGGGTAAGACAAACTTCGCTTTGACAGGAAGTGAAAAGAAGTGCCTCCCACCAAATAGAAGTTTTAACTAAATCACTGAGATTTGGGGGATGGTAAGAAAGATCAATGTTGTTAATGTTAACATATGCTGATTAAATAAATTTGCAATAACATCGTGTTTGGTAAAATGTCACCTCTACAATATGGCATAAGTATACTGCAGATCAGTGTTGATGTTAGTAATAGACTAAGAAAACAATCTACAAAACATGGTCAAATAAATTCATCACTGAGACAGGTGAAACAATTTATAATACAAGCTGCAGCATACAATATTACACTGATTTAACTTGCAATAATCAATGTAAAATGGCTTTTGTGTTTTTGTTTTCCATGTTAAAGTCTTGTGTTGTACCACAGATTGAATATGAATCAAATAAAATTTGAAAATTCAGAAGAGTTCATACTACACACATAAGATAACTCTTGTTGCAGGATACAAGCCTCTAATGCTTGCACTATAATTGAGATATGAAATAGATAGACATATTTTTGTCTTGTCTGTAATAATATTAATAATTATTAGTGTCCGGTCAAATTCGTCCAAAGTGCTCCTAACACTGACATGTATCTTATCAGCAAAACTGCAAGTCTTTAACATGTGCAGTCAAATAAGCCATGAACCAAAATTAGTAGTTTTCATTCTGTTGTGTAAAATGGTTTTGAATCCTGTTTTGGAATACTCACAATTCAACAATCCTGAATTTGCTTGAACACTGGGGCAACATATGTTAATAATTGTCATACAGGAAAACAGGTGTTCATTGTTATATTACAAACTTCAGAAATAACACCCTAAAACCACAACTGAATCTACAGAAATGCTTGCTATTAGCAAAAAGAACTTCTGACCCAAATATCTTGAAAATACCATAATTGTTGCATTAATTGCATTTTATTTTCACTAAATCACTCTTTCAGCAAATTTATAACATACTGTAAAATACTAAATTTTAGTTGGAATTTTTGCTGATTTTTGGCGAGTTGAATGTAAAATATAGGAAAAAAGGTATATTCACTGGATTCTATTTTCACTAAATCACTCCTTCAGCAAAATATAACATATTTTACAGTATGGCAAATATTTGTCAATGACTACTAACAAAACATGTACGATAATACAACTTTAAGGGTCAAGGTGACCAGACGTCTTGTAAGATATGAAACCTATTCATTATGTAACTTAGCATCAAAGTCTTGTCCATTTCTCTGTATTTTGTTGTGCTTTGCATTTTCAAGTGAAATTGTGAATGTGAGCACAGGATAGCATAGGCTGTCATTAGAAGGGCAATTGTTCTCCTTGTGCAATGACACAAACGCCCATATTTTGTTTTATTACCCTGGTACATGCCTTTCAGACTTTTCGTCACATATTTTACTGATTGTCAAAACCAAGCCGTGCCAGCATCTTAAATAAGTGTAGCAATGTTCTGAACAATACTTGTTTTAAACCGTGTATCCATTTTTAATGTAAATAAATGCATGTAATAAACGACCACATTAAAAATGGCCTGCAAACTGTATCCTAGCAACACATAACAACCCTAACATAAATGCTAAGTGGTGTTGAGGGCGCTCTTTACACAGCCATTACAGAATTTAATGCATTTCCCAATATGGCTTGCTTTCTTTATTTGTACACTTATACCATACATTCAAGGTTGTAGATGCTATGCTTAATTATTACAATAGAGGAAGGTTGTAGATGCTATGCTTAATTATTACAATAGAGGAAGGTTGTAGATGCTATGCTTAATTATTACAATAGAGGAAGGTTGTAGATGCTATGCTTAATTATTACAATAGAGGAAGGTTGTAGATGCTATGCTTAATTATTACAATAGAGGAAAGTTGTAGATGCTATGCTTAATTATTACAATAGAGGAAAGTTGTAGATGTTATGCTTAATTATTACAATAGAGGAAGGTTGTAGATACTATGCTTAATTATTAGAATAGAGGAAGGTTGTAGATGCTATGAGTAATTATTACAATAGAGGAAAGTTGTAGATACTATGCTTAATTATTACAATGGAGGAAAGTTGTAGATGCTATCTGCTTAATTATTACAATGGAGGAAGGTTGTAGATGCTATGCTTAATTATTACAATAGAGGAAGGTTGTAGATGCAGAGGTCACTAACCTGCAAGGTGCATAGTTCAGTGCAGTCATGTTATCAGAGTTGAACCAATTTGATTTATTTCTGAAGGGTGAAATGTCGAATATACCAGCGATTTAATGTGAGGCATTTCCTATTTATTAGGACAATGTTTGGCTTGTAATCATGATACATTCGAAAATATAGATTGTTGAGTATCATTCTATAATCATAAACATGTTATTAAATAATTGAGTGATTAATGAAAGTAAAAATCATAATTTAGATTTCAAGGTTGCTACTGTTCTAAGGTCACACTTTTTTATATTGTATATTTCTTTCATATAAACAATATCTGTGACATGTGTATATTTGTAATTTTTTCACATATCATAATTTACCCATATCATAATTTTTATTTTGAAATTAAAACCAATTTTGTGTGACCTATTTTGAGACATAGAACAACAATTCCAGTTTTGCTTTTCATTATTTAATATTCATAAATACACACTCACATAAGTTGTTTAAATATTTATTTAAAATTGATTCCTGATTTACATATGAAGAATCATTAACATTAATTGGCTCCAAATTTAATTAAGAATGTTATGAAAACATGTATTCATAATTGTAATTCATGTCAATCAAGAAATGCATTGACTAAATTGAAGAAGAAAAAATTTGCTTGATTTGTTATAATCATTTTAGAGTCTGAC